CAAAGAAAGGAGTTGCACAGATGGAAGAGAGGAAAGAGAAGGAACAGGTGGTGGATCAGTGTCCATTGATGGTTTGGTCTCTGCAATATATTCAGAGATAGCTTCAAGTGCTTCGGAATTCAAAGACGTCGCATGGGAGACAATATTGGAGATAGAAGCAGGAGGGTGAGTAAAGATTGGAACTGTAATGGACTGTACCAAAGTAGGGGTAGACGAAAGGGTGGAGGGAACTGGAGAAGTGTGTAAGGGAGAGGAAGATGCCGGAAGCATAGTCAAAGGAGAGCGGAGGTCAGGCGAAGGAAAGGGGTCAGTCGAAACCCCGGCACCTGAAGCGGGTGATGAAACAGCACCAGCAAGAGGTACAGGGGCCTTAGGAGTGTCCGAAGAGTGGTTAAAAGACGAGGCAGGGTCAGAACGGGGTGCGGTAACAAGGGGCCCGAGGGTAGCGGGGTCATGGATTGGGTCCTCCATGGCTAGGTTACTTCTTTCTTTTTGTTTTTAAGGAAAAAAAATAAAAATAAAAATAAAAAAGGGAGGGGGGACCGGGGAGGGATAGTTCCTAGGAGGAATGAAAGGGCCAGAAATCACCCTCCATGCCCAAGAGGACCTCAGCACCGCAAGTAGCACAGATGTGGCATGGAACCTGTGCCATACCCTACCCTTTATGCCAGTAAACCAGCAATTCGGGATAGCAACCTCACATCTGCCGAGCTACCTTGGTGGACAAAAGAGAGGGTGGCCGGATATCCACCACAAAGCATATCTCCTTTGGCCACCACCCCCGGAATCCGAAAGGCAGCCTCCAGAGATGCACCTGTCGCCCGAAAGATGCCCAAAGCAACCCCCGGGGAGACCGGAGGGGGATTGGGGCATCCCCAGGCGATCCAGATTCCACGGCAAACTACACCACCGCCAAGAACCTCAACGGAATGGGATGGACCCCGGTACCCTTTCCCCTACCCAGGAACTAGCGTGCCTGTGGGAAAAATCCCAGAGGCCAAAAAGAGGAAGGGCAAAAGGGAGGGGTGGGGAGGAGGAAGAGGAAAGGAAAAAGGGAGGATGGGGAGGATGGGATAGGGAAGGGGGGATTGGGGGTAATAGGTTCGGTCTGAGGAAGGAGACCAACAGGAGACCAAGAGCCTCTTCACCATGCCAAGGAGTGTGAGGGAAAAGTTCAATAGATATGAGTAGCGAGGGAGTATATAGTAACAATAGTTTCATTGCTGGCTACTTGTTAAGGTAGGGCAAGTCCAGCTCCCACTATTCCCCCCTCCCCAAAAGTGATAGTTTGATTGCCGGCTGCTTGTTAAGGTAGGGTCAGTCTAGCTCCGGCTATCCCTTCCCCTCCCTCTTCCCCCCCCCCGAAAGGTGACGTGTGGGGCTCCGGTCAAACAGTAAATCACTCGACTCACAGCTCCCAACACTACTGTAAGTACATGCCTGATCATATTTTAGTGGACTTATTGGTTGAAAGCTTCACTTTTGACCAATAATTAACTTAGTCCTTTCAGTCTTTATCTGTTAAATGTTTTAATAATCACCACATCTTTTAGATATTGTACTTATCGTGGAGAGTGATTTCTTAAGCAGTGGGTAATTCTCTCTTTACAGCTTGGAATGACAGAGAGGGTCACCTGCCAACCAACAAGTAGAATTGAAGATGGACTAACGTTCTGAGATGTCCCATTTTTGATCCACTTACCTGTTTGTGTATGCAAGTAGCAGGATATAACCCCTCATCATTGCAGTGGTAAAGAACCTGCTTTCCTGTTAGCTGGACGGATTATTGACGGCTATAAAATCTGTGAAGAACGAGCCGGTGGGTTGTCACCAACACCTGCGACCCCCCCCCCCCCATCATCAGCAACGGCTACGATTTCAACAACACGCAGTGTCACCAACACCAGACACCCAAGTTTTATATATATATTAGCGTTGAATTCAGTTATTTATATTTTTCATTTTCTTTAATGTTTTATTTTTTTTTATCACACTGGCCGATTCCCACCAAGGCAGGGTGGCCTGAAAAAGAAACTTTCACCATCATTCACTCCATCACTGTCTTGCCAGAAGGGTGCTTTACACTACAGTTTTTAAACTGCAACATTAACACCCCTCCTTCAGAGTGCAGGCACTGTACTTCCCATCTTCCAGGACTCAAGTCCGGCCTGCCGGTTTAACTGAACCCCTTCATAAATGTTACTTTGCTCACACTCCAACAGCATGTCAAGTATTAAAAACCATTCGTCTCCATTCACTCCTATCAAACACGCTCACGCACGCCTGCTGGAAGTCCAAGCCCCTCGCACACAAAACCTCCTTTACCCCCTCCCTCCAACCTTTCCTAGGCTGACCCCTCCCCCGCCTTCCTTCCACTACAGACTGATACACCTTGAAGTCATTCTGTTTCGCTCCATTCTCTCTACATGCCCCGAACCACCTCAACAACCTTCCTCAGCCCTTGGACAACAGTTTTGGTAATCCCGCCCCTCCTCCTAACTTCCAAACTACGAATTCTCTGCATAATATTCACCCCACATTGCCCTCAGACATGACATCTCCCCTGCCCCCAGCCTTCTCCCCGCTTTCAACATCTCACCCATGCTTCACACCCATATAAGAGTGTTGGTAAACTATACTCTCTTACATTCCCTCTTTGCCCCCAAGGACAAAGTTCTTTGTCTCCACAGACTCCTAAGTGCACCACTCACCCTTTTCCCCTCGTCAATTCTGATTCACCTCATTCTTCATAGACCCATCCGCTGACACGTCCACTCCCAAATATCTGAATACATTCACCTCCTCCATACTCTCTCCCTCCAATCTGATATCCAATCTTTCATCACCTAATATTTTTGTGATCCTCATAACCTTACACTTTCCTGTATTCACTTTTAATTTTCTTCTTTTGCACACCCTACCAAATTCATCCACCAATCTCTGTGCTCTTGGGAGATTCTGAAGAGAAGTTGCAGTGTCATCAGCAAAGAGCAACTGTGACAACTCCCACTTGTGTGATTCTTTATCTTTTAACTCCACGCCTCTTGTCAAGACCCTCGCATTTACTTCTCTTACAACCCCATCTATAAATATATTAAACAACCACGGTGACATCACACATCCTTGTCTAAGGCCTACTTTTACTGGGAAATAATTTCCCTCTTTCCTATGTACTCTAACTTGAGCCTCACTATCCTCGTAAAAACTCTTCACTGCTTTCAGTAGCCTACTTCCTACACCTGCAACATCTGCCACATTGCCCCCCTATCCACCCTGTCATACGCCTTTTCCAAAACCCTAAATGCCACAAAGACCTCTTTAGCCTTATCTAAATACTTCATTATATGTTTCACTGTAAACACCTGGTCCACACACCCCCTACCTTTCCTAAAGCCTCCTTTTTTCATCTGCTATCCTATTCTCCGTCTTACTTTTAATTCTTTCAATGATAAATCTACCATACACTTTTACCAGGTTACTCAACAGACTTATCCCTTTATAATTTTTCCCCTCTTTTGTCCCTTTGCCTTTATACAAAGGAACTAAAGCATGCTCTCTGCCAATCCCTAGGTACTTACCTCTTCCATACATTTATTAAATAATTGCACCACCACTCAAAACTTATCCCCATGCTTTTAACATTTCTATCTTTTCCCATCAATCCCAGCTGCCTACCCCTTTCATTTTACCTACTGCCTCACGAACTTCCCCCACACTCACAACTGGCTCTTCCTCACTCCTACAAGATGTTATTCCTCCTTGCCCTATACACGAAATCACAGCTTCCCTATCTTCATCAACATTTAACAATTCCTCAAAATATTCCCTCCATCTCCCAATACCTCTAAACTCTCCATTTAATAACTCTCCTCTCCTATTTTTAACTGACAAATCCATTTGTTCTCTAGGCTTCCTTAACTTGTTATCTCACTCCAAAACTTTTTCTTATTTTCAACAAAATTTGTTGATAACATCTCACCCACTCTTCATTTGCTCTCTTTTTACATTGCTTCACCACTCTCTTAACCTCTCTCTTTTTCTCCATATACTCTTCCTCCTTGCATCACTTCTACTTTGTAAAAACTTCTCATATGCTAACTTTTTCTCCCTTACTACTCTCTTTACATCATCATTCCACAATCGCTCTCTTCCTTTCCGCACCCACTTTCCTGTAACCACAAACTTTGCTGAACACTCTAACACTACATTTTTAAACCTACCCCATACCTCTTCGACCCCATTGCCTATGCTCTCATTAGCCCATCTATCCTCCAATAGCTGTTTATATCTTTCCCTAACTGCCTCCTCTTTTAGTTTATAAACCTTCACCTCTGTCTTCCCTGATTGCTTTTTTTCTCCTTGTATCCATCTACCTTTTACTCTCAGTGTAGCTACAACTAGAAAATGATCTGATATATCTGTGGCCCTCTATATAAACATGTACATCCTGAAGTCTACTCAACAGTCTTTTATCTACCAATACATAATCAACAAACTACTGTCATTTCGCCTACATCATATCTTGTATACTTATTTATCCTCTTTTTCTTAAAATATGTATTACCTATAACTAAACCCTTTCTATACAAAGTTCAATCAAAGAGCCTCCATTATCATTTACACCTGGCACCCCAAACTTACCTACCACACCCTCTCTAAAGTTTCTCCTACTTTAGCATTCAGGTCCCTACCACAATTATCTCTCACTTGGTTCAAAGGCTCCTTTACATTCACTTAACATCTCCCAAAATTCTCTCTCTCTCTCTCTGCATTCCTCTCTTCTCAGGTGCATACACGCTTATTATGACCCACTTCTCGCATCCAACCTTTATTTAATCCACATAATTCTTGCATTTACACATTCATATTCTCTCTTCTCCTTCCATAACTGATCATTCAACATTACTGCTACCCTTTCTTTGCTCTAACTCTCTCAGATACTCCAGATTTAATCCCATTTATTTCCCCCCACTGAAACTCCCTACCCCCTTCAGCTTTGTTTCGCTTAGGGCCAGGACATCCAACTTCTTTTCATTCATAACATCAGCAATCATCTGTTTCTTGTCATCTGCACTACATCCAAGCACATTCAAGCATCTCAGTTTTATAAAGTTTTTCTTCTTCTCTTTTTTAGTAAATGTCTACATGAGAAGGGGTTACTAGCCCATTGCTCCCGGCATTTTAGTCGCCTCATACGACCCGCATGGCTTACGGAGGAAAGATTCTTTTCCACTTCCCCATGGACAATAGAAGAAATAAAGAAGAACAAGAGCTATGTAGAAAAAGGAGAAAAACCTAGATGTATGTATATATATGCATGTGCATGTCTGTGAAGTGTGACCAAAGTGTAAGTTGGAGTAGCAAGATATCCCTGTTATCTAGCGTGTTTGAGACAGAAAAAGACACCAGCAATCCTACCGTCATGCAAAACAGTTACAGGTTTCTGTTTCAGTTCATCTGGCAGGACGGTAGTACTTCCCTGGGTGGTTGCTGTCTACCAACCTAGGATTAATATTTCATATTTAAGTATTTTATATTTTCTAAATAATAGTGTTTGTCTGTTATTATTTCTTTCTATTCATTAATTTTCCTGAGGAGGAGCCAGCCTTGGTAATACTGACTGAAGTTGTTACAGGGCCAAGTAAGCCTTCACAAGGAGCCCCCCTTTGAGGACAAAAGAGGGAAAATCCTCACAAATGAGGCTAAATGGAGGGAAAGGATTGTGTGGTATTCAGACTCAGTCTGAGGAAGGGGATTAGAGGTGCAGTTTTTTAGATCAGGTTCCTCTACTGTGTTTCAAGTAGTGGATCCTTGGGATTCTCCAGATAAAGATTTTTATTATGAAGGATAATAAGAGCTCTCCACTTGTGGGAACATTTATATTATTGAGATGTCGGGTTCAAAGATTTAAGACTATCAGAAAATATTATCAGCTCTTGAAGGCGATAAACAAGCTCAAAACATATAAAATCTTTAATAAATGGTTAATTATATCAGCTTGTTATACAGTTTGATAATTGAACTTTTGAGAAATAAACTGGGCTATCCCACAGTTCAGTGAAAATGGAGTTCAATTTAAAATAAAAATTTCTTACATTTCAGTCATTTTTATATTTTTCTACTGTTCAGCTTTTAAGTTTCATCCTGTGGGGGAACTTTCAATATTTTTCAGTAGCTCAAATAATCCCTTCCCAGTAGAACAAAACTGCATTTCAGTATTGTGGAAAGCTGAGGCCAACAATACTGTATTAAGAGCTTATTGATTTAAATGATAAGTAATTTTGATTTACTGTTTATAAGCCATTTGACCTTTTCAGGATGGGTCCTATAGTTTAATGGCTTTGAAGCCCAGGTCAATCCTGTAGTTCTACACCATGAGCTCAGCCTTCCGAGATAAGCTGTGAGCATTAAATTTGGGTCTAGTAAGTATGCACTCTGAACATGATGAGTATGCAAGTATGCACTTGAAACATGAGAAAAAAAAAAGCTGCAAGTATTTTTGGATTAAAACGGTGACGTTGATGTGTATTTTAAAGTGGTTTTTGCGGTTGTACACTTGGTCTCATTCGATAAAATGAAAGATAATTACAGAAATGGGCATGATTTTGATTGGTTTAAGAACTGAAAGTAGCTTTAAATTGTACTAAAAGTAGTGGAAATGTTTGATTTTTGCCCATATTCCAGAGTACACAAGTGATGTCACTTGTCCAATACAGGTCGGCCATCACTAATCCGGCATCATTGGGAACTGCAGTGCCGGATTAATGAGATTTTCCGGATGACAGTGGTTAGGTTAGAATGCAATTAATTAATGTATCAGTAGAGAGACTTTCTGCTACATTTTCATCGCTGTTTTCTCCTCCACTGGCTTGTTGCTGTGGATTTACAACCATCTGCACAATTTCTGAGTCGGTGTAATGATGGAATTTGAAATTATGCTAGCTGAAATTAGTATCGGATTACTGATGGAACCGGATAACTGATGGCAGACCTGTACACGTCCATCTGGCTAGTCTAATATGCATTGACATTACTGCATTATTGTAGTAGTATAGTCTGCATAACAGTATTCTATTTTTTTGTGCGAACAAAAAATTCAAAATGGAAAGCAAGTACAGTGGACCCCCGCATACCGATTTTAATCCGTGCAAGAGGGCTCATTGGTATGCGAAATAATCGGTATGCGAATGAATTTTCCCCATAAGAAATAATGGAAATCAAATTAATCCGTGCAAGACACCCAAAAGTATGAAAAAAAAAATTTTACCACGTGAAATATACATTTTCCTACACACAAAGAGAAGGTTACATGACAATAGTAGAGTAGACATGCCGTATTATGTGCATGTACTAGTCTACTAAAAAAGAAAAAATGAAAATTCCTTTTTTAAAAGTGCAGCATTGCTAGAAAACCCCGTGTCCTGGGAGTGCCTTTTCCCCCTGAGTACTGTTAGGTCCTGTTTGGTATTTCTTCCAAAACGTTATCACACTGTGTATGTCATAGATTTTAAAATCTCTAAAACCCAACCTTTGCTGGCTTTAAATTCCCCCAATAGGCACTAGTTCCAGGCATTTTTTCCCTGTTCACCTGGGTTTTTGGACTGGTGTGGGTTCATCCTGGGAGACAAGTTTAAGGCCCCCAATGGAAAAAGTTACATCTTCGATGACACTGACTTTTTTGGGTTATCTGGGTGGCAAATCCTCTGGGGTTGTTTTGGTTTTCTAAAAAACCCACACCAACAAAAGTGTGCAGCAGCAGCGTACCACCATGTAGCGATGGTTGATTGGGGTTATTATAAACTGGCCAGCTGGGACACGCATCCCTTTTATACTTATCAATGATCTTTTTTTTTATAGTAATTCCACCCTTTTGCTGTAGGGTTGCACTAGAAACTTTTTTTGGGGCCCCTGGACTTATTTTCCCGATAAAAACCCAAAAAAAACTGTAATAATACGAAATGTTCGATTGTTGCTTGGATGCTACCCCGGGGGTGGTGGAAAAAATGCCACGCGGAAATGTGAGGTGGCTAAGGCGCACATTGGGGCGTCTCGGACGAACAGCGGTGAGCGGGTTTTTAAGCGGTATGCGAGGCAAAATTTTAGCGATAAAATGTATCGGTATGCGGATTAAACGTTATGTGATGCCAACGGTATGCGGGGGTCCACTGTATAACAGGAAATGTTGTTTGTGCCAAGAATGTCTGCATTGTTTATTCTGGATCCTATTTTGAAATTAGCCAAATTACCAATTTCTGACCAGTTTATTGGGTAATTGAAAGTTAAATGGGTGGTTTCTTGTACTCTTTCAATGGAATGGAATGCATACTAGTGATATAGCTAAGAAGTTATCAACTGGAACAATGTATTTGCCCTAAAATCGATGTGGACAAAATCTCCAGTGCATAAATATCGCTAAAACAGCAAAATTCGTGAAAGCATAATATCGCCAGTTTTCCATCAAATTTTGTGCCTTTTGTTTTATTACCTTCAGAAATTTTTTTTTTAATTTCCAACCCTGAAAGCAAGTTTGAGAGTAGGGGGGTCCTGACCCTGAAAGGGATAATGGCTTACAATAAGGAGAATTTTGACTTGAGTTTTCCAACCATAATGCGATATACCTGCCTATAATCAAAATGGCTTTATTAAAAATGCACAAACAAGGTCACGCTTCAATTACATGCCTGTTTGAAGCAGTAAACAAAGTGCAGACATTTGGAGAGTGACTGTACAACTATTGAAAAGTAAATTCTGAAGGTAATAATAAAAACTTTTATAAAAGTTTAGTATAAATGATTTCATAGTTCACATATTTAACAATACGTATACGAAATAATTATATTTAAATATTGTGTAGGTATTATTATTATAATCAAAAAGAAGCGCTAAGCCACAAGGACTATACAGTTTGTGTAGGTAGAAAAATTTGTAAATATAGTTTGACAAATTTTGTAAATTACATTTTTTCCTTCAAGGTGCTGTTAAAGGACTCACACTCAAGGAAACTGCTTGAAAAGGCTTCACCAAACACAGCTGATGCTGACGTCTTTTATTCAACAGTAAAAAATTATACTACAGTTTGCAATGTTCATCAGACGGAATCAATGTTTTGCACCATATCTTCATGATATGACAAAGGGGCAATATGCACATAGTGCAAGTGTCATCAAAATGGTTGTCATTATACTCAATATTGCAGTATTTAATGAATAGCTTTACATATCCTAAATATCTGCTAATTGTACACTATTATCATTACAGAATGCAATTGCGTAAATTTGTATCTGTAGGTTTTACAAACGTAAATCAAGAAAAGTTATTGCCCCTTAAATTTCTTTATACAAAAGAGTGGAATATATATTCCATGGACTTCTCATTGTGCACAATGTTTGTACAATGAACATCTAAATTGCCAGCATAATTATAGAAACTTCTTTACAGAAACTTAATTCAATAATATTGTATACGAAAAAAAAAAAAAATAAATATGCAAAATAATTCAATGTACACAAATTTAGTACATATTACAAAACAATACAAACAAGCTGATACCCAAAGCCAAGTTAGACTTTGGTTAAAAATCAAGGAAGTTTTTAACATATTACTCTTAGACAATCAGGTTTTAAATAAAATAATGCAAGATTAAAACTGGGTTCCATCATTAAATTGCACTTGTTTAAAGGTTACAACAGCAAGCATATGAATAAAACAGAAGAGCTCTAGCTCACCTCAGCAACACTGCCAAGGCATTATACACCTTACACATGGGTAAAAAGTCATGCAATACCACATATTTCCATGCCTTACTGCAATTAGTTACACTTTGTGACCTTTTTATACTATCAAACTTTGTTACATTTGCAAGTATTGTACTACCAAGCCACTTTAATTAGAACCTGCATGAACCTAAATACAGCAGGTAAAAAGTGAATCTTATGGAGATCTATCACAGGTTTTAGCACAAAGGTTAAGAAACTGCTTGGAATTAGCTAACAATTAACAAACCAGTTGCAATGGTTACTGCTAAACCTTTGTGTAAACATCTCTAACAAATGCAAAACATTACTAGCTACAGCTTCATGTTCATAAAACATTCATCTTAGCATTATGGACTTGCTATCGAGTCACTTTGTTCAATGATTATGTACGAGATACACACAAAAGAATCCTAATCTTACATAAAGATGTATAATTACATAGCAATTCTTTTGATTTTAAATGGGGTAAGCCAGCAATGCTTAACCACTGAAAGGGTCTGAGTAAGTCGGTGTCAAGAGACCAGTAAGTAAACCACAACTGTAAACAAATATCACCATAAACACTTAATATGCAATGCTGTTTGCATGCACTACTCGGTATTAAGCATGTTTGAAATTCTTCCAAGCCTATAAAATGATTTTATGTGGATAATCTGTAAAACAGCTGTATTCTTCTAAAAATCCATGACACATTTTTAGAGAAAAATATTTTGACTTTTTATTCGATACATTGAGTAAAAGCTACAAATGTTATTTATTGTACTTTACTATTCCTTTTCTTTCACTAGTACCAGTTTTAGTTGGTTTAAATATGCACAGTAGTAATTACTGGAATTATTATTATAATCAAAAAGAAGCACTAAGCCACAAGGGCTATACAGCAATTACTGGAATGAATGTGATTGAGAACTCAAAGGGAGCATATGGGGTAATTGGCATTTACCAACACTTTACAACAATAAGTGCAAAACTCAAAAGGGTGATACAATGCTGCAGGGAGGGCTGTGCAAATGGTAGGAGGGAGCAAGCAGTAGCAGCATGCAAGGGGTTAGCAGAGGTAGGAATGAGTGTAAGAGCAAATTACATTAAAGTTGGTGAAATTTGTTAATGTCTGCTAAAAAGTCAGTCTGCATCAAAGGCGAGACTTTCAGTGAAGTCATTTGCAATACTGTACAGTACTGTGATATTTCCACATAATACATGTGTATTCATTTAACTGAATAGTACTTTTGGGAATACGATCCCCAATTATCCCCCCCCCCCTTTACCACCTTTTGCCTCTTCACTGCATTCATGATCCCCCCCCCTTTCCCTTTCCATGCATTTGCCACTGCTATTTCCTCTATTCCTCTTACAACACATGTACTGCACTGAGAAATTTTATACACAGGTTTATATATTTGGAAATTATTCAGTGTATGGTATTTATTACTTTATTAGAAAGAGGGTTGAGGAAAGGATGTAACACGCACATTATCACAATCAAAAGTGCTAAACCTACCAGGGTCATACAGTGCTGCAGGGCAGGAATTGATGCAGGATCTAAGGATAAATAAGGGTAGAGATGACAAAGGTAAAGTTAGAAGGGGCTGAGGAGTGCTAAAGGAAGGATTATCAAAGTTTGTGTAATACATCAGTTGTTGTCAAAGTGAGTGTGTCAAAGGTGGGTCTGTCAGCAAGGAGGGAAAATAAAGTAAGGGCAGAGCAGTGATGACGGAGGAAAATTCTGCGTACTCACTGATACAGGACAGTCCAATAGAATGTGGGAAATTGAAACTGGAACTAGACAATTATCACAGTGGAACAGGATGCCTCTCCATGAGATACCCATGAGTTAGAAGTGCGTGTCCGATGCAAAGACAAGAGTGTTGTCTCCCAACTTTGGTATCGATGACAAGGCCAAAAACCCAAACTTGGTTTGATACTGTAATTTATGCATTGGTAGACAGCAACCCCCCAGGGAGGTCTACCCCTCGAGCGAGTGAAAAAAAGGAACCCTGTACAGTGGATCCCAGCTACGAATTAATCTTTCCCTAAAAGCTCATTGTTAGCTGAATTTAAAAAAAATTTTTTCCCATAAGAAATTATGGAAATAAAAAATTAATCTTTCCCGACACCCAAGTATGAAATTTTTTTTTTTTTTTTCCCACTAAAATATTTTTTAAATACCACAAATGACATTCCCTTTTTTGAAGATCGGGTGATGATTGTGGGTGGGAGGGGGGGAGTGTTGGATGTTAATGTTTAGAAGGGAATCCCCTTCATTAGGACTTGGGTAGAAGTCCTTTTGGGGGTTACTTCCTTTTTTAATCCCGTTGGACCAGCTTCAGTCAGGGACTCTGTCGAATGTCTGCCCATAGAGGCCTGACCCCCTTTTCCTTTAGGATTTTCCCTTAAAGTGGGTCAAAACTTTGTCAGTGAAATAGTCCCCCAGCATGGCTTGCAATAGCTGTGCGAGGGTGATTTTCAAAAAAAAAAGGGTTTGCACTTCAAGCCATTTCCCCCTTTTTCCTTAATTTTGAAGTAGGAAAACTTCCTAAAATTTCTTTCCCCTCCAGAGCAATTTCCAGGTTGGCACTTGCTGAAGATGATCTTGCAGTATCGTGGTTTTGTTCTTATTGTCCTCCCACCCAATCTTACATCCTCCCAAATAACTAACCCCAAGGATTCCCAATGCCCAATTTATTCCCCCAACTTTTACACTTCTCAGGGTTAGCCAAAATCTTCAAAACCCCCCTTTCTAACATTTGGAGTTTTTGCAGGTTTGGGGCCTCTTAGACCTCCAAACCTTTTATAAAGTTTTTCCTTAAGGGGTGTAAAATGATTTCCCAAAATTAAGTCAATTGAGTTTTTTGGGTCCTAAAAACTTTAAAATAGTTTTGTGGTTAGAAATTTTTTTTTGAAGTTTACAAGACCCGTGGTCCCTGGCTGCAGGAGAGGGTGGTATTAGGAGGAAAAACTTGACTTTTGAATTTATGTCCCCGAAAGTACTCTGCCACAATTTAAGGATAACCAGGAGATTGCTAATTTCCCGGGGGCACTTAAGGGCCCATTTTTTTCCATTAGGTAATTTTTCGTGGGGGGAAATGATGGGGTAACCGCAAGAAAAGGTTCTGGGACCATTTTTACTTTTGCCCCCCACCCAAACACAAATTTGCTTTAGGACATTTTCTCTGAACCTCTCGGGGTTTTTGATACACCCAAAAAGCTTCACTTTTGAAACACCCTAGCATTAGCAAAAAATCAAGAGGTAAGTGTCTTTATAGGGTTTTTGCCGGGGTGCCTTTTCCTCCCAGTAATGTAGGTCTGTTTTGGGTTTTTTTCCAAAACGGCCCCCCTTTCGTCACAAAACTTTTTCAGGTTTGTCCCTTTATGTTTATTCCTTGAAATTCCCGCCCTATTTTTAGCCCCTTTGTGGTCGAACTGGAGCCCCACATGCTTATCCCCCTTGTTGCCCCTACAATTTTTTAAATCTCTCAAACCAACTTTGTGGCCTTAAATTCACTCGCTCCCATAGTTGCAGCATTTTTTTTTAAAATCGTCGCAACTTCCCGCTTCTCCAAAGGATCGCTGAGAGTGTTCTCTTTATACCCGTTTTTCGTTTTCCACACCAAAAACGTCTTCAAAATTTTTTTAATTGCGACTTATTCAAAAAAGAAGTTTCACCTTTTGGGAAGAAAAGTTTTCCTTGATTGCCTTTTTTTTGGCCCAATAGAAAGTGACGGTTGTTTGGGGGTTTTGTTAAATTGGGCCCAAGTTTGGGAAAGACACGCATTTCCAATTTTCATACTTAGCAATTTTTCTTTTTTCTTCAAAACCCCTATTAATTCTCCCCCTTTTTTTCCTGTGGGGGTTGGCACTAAAAGCTTTCTTGGGGCCGGGTGACTTTTTTTGCGGGGTTTTTAAAACCCACTAAAAAACGCTGTGATATAAAATTTGTTCTGATTGTATGCTTTTGGATGTGACCGCGGTGGCTGGCTGGCTTGTAAAAAACTGGCACCCAAGGGACAAATGAGGCGGCTCAGGGCCCCATTTTGGGGCGCGTTCGAAAACGAAATTGCGTTGGGGGAGTTTAAAAAGCTAGCCCGAGGCAGGGAAATTTTTTCGCTAAAATGTATTTTTTTATTATTATTTTAATTTTAAAAAAAAGCGCTAAGCCACAAGGGGTATACAGCGGGTTTCAGGGGAGGAAGGAAGCGAGGGGATAAAGGGGGCGAAAGGGGGATGGATGAGTAATAGGTTTCGGGGGTAACAGCGGGGGGCAGTGGATTGGGGAAAGGGTAAAGGGCAGAAAGATGAACTAGAAAGGGTTGAGGGTAGTGCCAAAAAAAGGGTTTAACAGGGGTTTGTTGGGAAAAATCAGGGGTTTTCCCGAATTTAATTTAGGAGTCGGATTAGGAGGGTCCATCAGCAAAGGGAAGGAAAGGGGGGAAAAAGTAGTGAACGAAGACGACGACGGAGGTAAAAATTTGCGGCTCGGGGATTGAGGGCAGTCTAAAAGAAGGGGGCTAAACGGGTACTGGGGAAATTGACACTGCTCCAGAGGGAACGGGTTTCCTTCCCTGAGATACCCAAAGGTAAGACGAGTGTGGCCCAAAGCGAAGGGGGGGAGGGGGTGGTCTCCCAACCCCTGCACTGATAAAAAGGGAAAAGGGCCCGTTTAAACCTTTTGCTCGGTTTTTAAAAGATTGAAGTTTGTTAAAGAGCGAGTTGACCAACGTGTTGCCAAAAAGGATGTGAAAAAGGGGGGTAGCTATTGCCCGGGAAAATAGTCTGAAATGGGAACACCTCTATAGGAAATTGGTGGTATGAATTGTGACCCCCCGCAAGCAGTGTCTGAAAGTTCGTTTTCCCCGTACGTTGACATGCCCAGGGACCCAAAAAAAAACAATATCTTTTTGCTTGGTTTTGAGATTTCGGCGTAAACCAAAAATTGGATTCGGGGAAAAACTAGGGGAGTGAAAAATGTATTTAAAAAATTTTTTTAAAGCCTGTAGAGCACTAAGGGGGGTTTGGGGTTAGATACCACAAATGATGATCAGGCATAGTTGCGGTTTGGAAAAAAAGTGCTGCAAGAATGGCATACAATTCAGCAGTAAAAATGCTAGCCGAAGATAGTAAATGCCCTCGCACGACGCTGTCCGGAAACACTGCGCGAATCCGACACCGTCTGAAGACTTACACCCATCTGTGTACACAGCGATGGCATGAGAATGAGAGTGGAAGTGATCAAGAAAAAGAGAGTGGGAAGCCACCGTAGGCAGTTGGGCTTTCGAGCAAGGGAGGGGAGAAAGAACAGACCCGAACAGCTGGAATTCCCAGGGGGGTAGGGAAAAGTGAGACGCTACATGAACATATAAAGGTGGTAACTGAAGGGAAGACGAGCGAATGTAGGTGAAGAGAAAAGGGACAGAGCCAAACAGGGGGGCGAACAAATAAAGAATGTCTACTAATATTGGTGACCATTCTATAAATGGAAGGATTGTGGAGATCGTGAGAGCGTACTAGAGCGAAGGCAAATGGGCATCACGGCGATCAGACAAGGATGGAACATTCGCTTCTGCATAGAGGTTTCTCAACAGGGGAAGACCCAAAGACCAAGGCATAAATGTAACCCCTTGTGATGGATGGGGTTATGGCAGAAGAGTAGCAGGAGAGGCCGCTGAATAAATCTGGTCACCAATAATCAAGTTTCGATTTAAAACGAGGGTGAATTTTGGCGAGCAGAGTTCGACGATCAGCTCCCAGGAAAG